TACAATCACCATTAGTATTTCCTCCCATAAAGTTAATACTACAATAAAGTTTAATACGTAACATGGAGAGGTAACAGTATCAATTGAGTACATTTGCAGTACATTGAGAGTTATGTATAGCTATATGCACAGGCCTATGGTCCAATTCCATCCGTCTCATGAATAGTGCAGAGATAATCTATCGCCTTCGATACTGTTACCGTTCATTGCATACCGTTGCTACCAAACGTTGGATCAATAACTTGGAACATCGGTTTCTCGGTGTCACGTGACATCGATGGCGTTCCCGTGGTTTTCTCGCAAGGATGGCATTGTATTATATCGTTCTAAGTAACTAAGTGCGAGAGGGATGAAAGTCCACGTCTGCAAAGCACACGATGCGCCTAGAACCGGTTAGACTTGTTTATTTGCACGCATTCCAGCCGGTCCGAGAGCCATTCCCGGTCAAATCAGGAACTCGACTCTTTTAACCTTGAAATTTAAACAGCTTTCTAAGAGGCGTATTATCGCTATCATATACGATATCGTGGTGTTATTAGAGGTTTCATGTCACGTTCGCGATGAATTTACTTTAATTGGCAAATAATACGCAGGGCAATTAGGGATGCTACGGCGGGTGGAGGCGCGCGTGACGCGACTAGCGAATCAACGTATTCAATTATGCAAACAGCCTCTCAAAAGAACTACCCCTGCTAGCCCTGGAGGATTTCGCAGTCGCTTTTTATTTTTCCTTCTAACCCTTATCCGTTGTTTCTAAGTTACAAATACCTATAGATACTATGTAAATAAGTACAATAGTAAAAATATAATGTATTTTCTCATTACCGTTACAAAGTTTCCAACACGTTACGGGAAACAATGTTCCATAACAAAAACAATTAATTTTATTGTTTGAAAGTTTGAATATTTTCAAATCTTACAAAAGCTGTGGTATACCTAAAGATACAACAAAGTTCTTCATATCACCCAAAAAAATAGATATTTTTTAAACATACGTCATTTTTACACAACTTGAGATTGATTCCTTTTAATCAGTACTCAGAGTCGGCAATTAAAATGTTCTAATCAAATACGATTAAATATTAATTAAAGAGACGATTACTTGCTTGATATTTTGGCTTCTAATTGGATCTATGGTTATTTAACTCTTTCAAATGGCTTACGTAAGCGTTCACTTCGAAAACGACGAAGACGCCGGTCTGATGTTACTTAGAACTATAACTATGTTTTTAAGTAAATTCGCGATAGGATTGCGAAAGTATTAGAGTGTCACGACCCCGGGGAGCACACAATTGTCATGTAAAGCGCTCGGCTGGGTCTGCCACGGCCTCAGGCTGGAAATGCACTTTCGTGAAACGATTGAATGTCGATTCCATTTATTCACTGACAGAACGGGATGAGATTTTATCTACGACACAGAGGTTTTTAAAGACTTATATTACTGTAGATATATTGAATACGATAACTGTACGAGAGCTGAGTAGAAGTAAGATCTATGAAGGAATTCCTAATCACGGAAACGCTCAAACGGTGCGTGCGAATAAGGACAAGTTACTATGATTTTTTAAATATCTTTTAACACAAAAATTATCTTTATAACTGGCGAATTTTTTTAAATGAATTATTCTCCTATAAGTGTTAAATATTTGTATTTATTATTATGGCGGGTTTTATGACATACATATATCTGGGCGGGTAATTCCTTTTGCGGTCACAACTGACTATGATATCATTATTCTACGAAAAGATACAAAAAAAATTATCCTGTTCGACAATTACGAAGTCTATTGATAGTTTGTTTAAGGAATCAAATGTATCTATTACTCGAGTAGCGACTCGATTCGACTAGCGTTTGGTCCAAACAATTTATGTCTCTTACGATGCCTTTTGTTCTTATAAAATATTAAGAAGTAAATTTTACTTAAGATCTAGAATTGCTTAAATAGTTTATGAGAAATTCGCGCACAAACGCGCACTGCAATTGAATCTATTTTCAAGAGGAAAATGATACCAAAAACTGTACTAGAACCTTAATAGGACGTTGTAATGGGTAATTTTAAGTGAATCTACAAGAAAAAATTATATTATTATATAATATTGACAGCCGGCAAATACTGGAATACTTCTTGAGGATTGGCACGGTGACATGAAATTATCGTTTTAAAATAATGTCTAACTAGTCAACAATTTTTAAAACATATATAAAAAACTTATACACATTTTTTAATGTTATAAGGAAAAACAACTAATTATTTCTAATCATTTACGTAAACATGTTGGGCTCACGAAATCCTCATATATAACTTGTTCAAATCGTTCCACTACTTGCTGTCTGCGCTTGTAATGATAATTACTTAACAATGACGTCACAGTCATGGCCGCCGTCGTTTTCGGCGCGTACGTCTGGATGCAAAGTGGCAAGGTCGAGGCTGATACACTTCGAATGTAAATGAGCGTATCATTGTATGGCCTCCAAACTCTTGTGTACCCTTCGACGACGCCCATTCGTTTGGAAAAAGCTAATGGATCTTAGGTTACTAGAGCCTACATCTGTATAGCCTTAGTTAAATATTGAAGTATTGATGACTGGATTCTTATTTTCTAGCTGCTTTTCAAAGTACTTGTTGTTCCTATCTTCTTAATATATATAAATGACGTGTCACGTGGTTTGTCCGCTATGGACTCCTAAGCTACCGAACCGATTTCATTCAAATTTGCACAAATTTTTATTTTATTGCAAAATAGGATAGCCTACATCTCAATTGATACCCGCAATATTATTTTATTGCAAAATATTTGTTTATTATTTGATAGTCACAATTTTAACAGATGGCGCTGTGTTGAAAGTACCAACGTTTCACATAAGCTACAATTTAATGGTATTACCACCAAAAAAGCATGGTGGTCCCCATGACTGGTGTTCTCCTACCGTCTCCCTTGAATAGGTTACTACTATGTAATATAACTAAAACCTTAGGCACAGCCGGCCGGTCTATTAGTAAATAATATAAAATATATTATAATAACCGTATTGCGATGCGGGTCGTGTACAAATGATATAATCAAGAGAAAGTTGGTTATCAATATACTTCAGGCTATTTATGTGATTTTCCGAGTGGAGACATGTCTCTCGAGCTTCACCGTTTAATTAAAGGGCGCGGGGTGTGGGTAGCGGGTACCCGAGGAGCTGGGCATAATGGCGGCGCAATATCGGATGGAAATGCGCGGCATGTAGGAATGCGCCGCACGCCACCCTCAACGAACGATTTCTGGTATTTTTTATCGACTAATACTGTGTGAAAATAGATTTGAAAATGGAACAGTATCCTGCTAATTCTAAAAGGGTAAGGAATCAGTATTAGTAGTTCATGACATAAATATTTCAAAGTTATTCGTATTGTGAATTTATAATACAATGAAACTATGAAAATATGCAGTGTTTGCAATATCATAAGACAAAGTGAGGCTAGTTTCCTACAGAAATCTATGTTATAGAAGTAAAATAGGTTCAAAATAGATGGTTACTTCACTTTATATTTAGGACCTTCAGACTGGAGAGTGGCAACACAGAACGAGAATAGCTCCATTGTATGTCTGGAGATACTGCGTGGCGATAACTTTAAAGATCGGCATGTCGTGAAAGTAACTGAAAGTGGAATGAAAGTTTATAAACCCGAGTCTAAATATACTTTGCCTAATGGACACGCCACGACAGTATTTTTCATCGTTCTGCTCCGTGGAAAGATTAAATTTAGAGACTGACGTCTTTAGACGGTATAAATTGTGAGAGGCGCCTGTTAACATTCGGCAAAAATTTTTGATAGTGCAAATGTCTAAGAAGATTCAGACTCGGTATTAATGGAATTAAATGAATTTAAAATTCAATGTTTAAGGTTCCATTTTCAAAATCACACACAAAGACTGAAACGAGTCTTTGTGTGTTATACTTATAAGGGATATAGTTTTCGCTTTACGTAAGGGAGATAAGGTTTAATTAACTGGTTAAGCATGTCTTGTATAATATGTATCTTTAAGTATTCGTATAACGGTGTCGTAATCGAGAGATTTGAGAGATTGAGTGCACTACAGCCGAGTGCAATATTGGCGAATGGCGAAATCAGAGATCGAACGAAACACGACACCTCACTTAACGGATATGAAAGTCCGACATATTTTTGTTCCGTTATTATTTTCGATATGAGGCTTTTAACTTATAATAATGCCCAGATTAGACAATATCATGTGATCTACGTTTACACATTATTATATTAAATTGTGACTTGAAAATGTGTTTATGAGTTATCTTATATATTAAATTCTCGTGTCACAATGTTAGTTACCATACTCCTCCGAAACGGCTTGACCGATTTTTATCAAATTTTATATGCATATTCAGTAGGTCTGAGAATCGGCTACTATCTATTTTTCATACCCCTAAGTGTCCACCCCTAAATTTTTATTTTTTAGATAATTTTTTTTGTTTTTATTTTTTTATGATACAGAATACAAAAATACATACAACCCTTAACTTTCACCCCTCTACGATCAACCCCTATTTTTTATTTGTTAATTAAAATCTTATGACTTATGGGGTTTATATAGAGAAAAATTCACAAAAAACCCTAAAAAGTTTTCATTCCAGAAAACCGAACAAATGCTCCATATATATTGGTGGGCTCAAAAGTGGGCTAAGTCAAAAAAAACATATTAAGGCGAAACGAAGTTCGCGGGGGCAGCTAGTAAGAAAATAAAAGTTTAAAAATACATCATGAATGATTAAACTCATTAATTTTCCATCGTATTACGGAAACGAAGAAATCAACACCTGGAACAATTAGACTGAACACGACAATTTATGCAGCAATTATTTGGAGCGCGCTCCATTCAATCCAGGTCAGATTAAGTGATTCTTAACTAATAAAAACGATGGCATGCCACGAACCACGTTTGTTGCGCAAAATTAATGAACGTTTCTAAACGGCGAGCTTCTTAATTATTATTTATATTGCAATCAGAGCATAATAAAGTAAGTCTAATTTATCTGCCTTTTCGCTACGAGTGCACCATTCTAATGACTGCTTTTCATAACGGGCAAATCGTGACGTTAATAACGTGTCTTCACGCAGGAGGTAAGTGAACGGAGGCTGAATAGACAGTGTATACGTATATTGAATCACGTAAAGGCTATTCGAATGGCGCTCAGTGTCTCGGTCGCGTCTACTCAACTACCTCGTGTACCTACGGCTTACGTTGTCAGATGCAGCTCGAGATTTCTGGACTATGCTAGTGTGTGTGGACATATGAGAACTCCACACATTTCTTCTGTATATAAAACTATTTCGAGAACTGCGTTTACGCATCTCTCGCAACAAAAGCGACAGGAATATGTGGGCTTGACTCACTTTAGAGAACTTCCGCGTCTAGAAATAAGGTTTTTAATACTATAACTTTATTTTAAACATCTCCTTTGACACCCGTAAGATCAGAACAACTCACACGGTGCGTGTCGCGGTAAGAAGCTATTCGTTTGACTTATGACCCATCTGACCATTGGATGATTCGGCAGTTCGCCAATACTAAGCGTAAACAAAGCGCAAGTCCAGATTACTGGCTTTTAAACGCTCCAACTGTTCAGCAACGAAGCACTCAGCTCTGGCCTCTAAAACATTCGAGTGGTCTGAATGGAGCCTTTGCTATCGATTTGTAAGCAATACTTAAGTAAGTTTCACTTTGACATAACAGAGACGAAAGCTTTTTAGTCGTCGGGAAGTTGTACCAATTATTTCTTTCGTAAAGACGGCAGCCAGTAATACTTTGAAGGAAAACGAAATATAAACAACAGGAAACCGGGATTTTTGATAACTAAGTTAGATAAGGTACGGAATTAATAACTAATTAGTTTCTGTGTATAATAAGATTTGAGAATATACAATGACTGTATATTTATTTAAACTTCGTTACATTATAAATAAAAATAAAAAATTATTAGGGATACAACGGGCCGCCTTATAAAAAAAAATTAAAAATACTAAGAGTAAAGTGCAAAACTAAAAGCTAATGTTTACGGTTCATGAATTACAATACAATACAAAAGAAATGACATGAATTACAAGTCACGATTGAGCAAGATTTGCATTTAACATCTTACCAATATTTACTGACTAATAACTTTTATCTAATAAACAACATTTTAAATGCCTATGTAATTAACCAAAAACGGAAGAAAAATTGTGTTACCATGGCGATTTAACATTTACCCAAAATACAAACTAATATTGATTTAAATGAGATTTAAAGTATGTCATCGGTAAAATTAGAAACAGTCTCTACTATTATATCCCAGCGTGATGAAAGTGAATGAGTGGGCGACTTAACAATGTATTTCTCAATACATGGCGAACCACGATGGATTTACTGGTTGCTATAGAAATGATAACACGAATTATTTAGTTAAACTTTTATTTTTAATATCCTCCCCCCCCAATTTGTTACGTTTGTTAATACTTGAACGCTCCCAAATCTGGTTATTCTTAAAGCACACTTTAATGATTATAATATTCTGATAATTACGTTTTTATTCGGTACCATTTAATATCAAAATACAATCTAATAACATCTCATACATTTATACAATTAATATTATCAAGCAGACAAGTTACGCGTTGGTGTGTAATATCCATAGGTCAACTTTCACAGCATAAATGTCACCACCCACACAAAAGGTAACTTTATTCTAGCTAAATAGTACCTACTTATAATTCTGATCACATCTTAATCATCAAACATGTTATATTTTAATGCGCGAAAGAGTTTATTCCACAGTAATGTGAAAAGTATAAGTTGGTTTAGAACTCTCATTTCTCAAAATAACAAGGGTCAGTAACTTTTGCAAACATATCAAGCCTAGTCCATGCCTGCGTAATGAGTGGCTTTAATTCCCATTTATCACTGTCATCGTTTATAAATCCATATTAAATGACTCATGAATATTTCGAGCTGTTGACCGACGTTAGTCGTATAACCTATAAAGCAAACATTGCGAATCCGGTTCCAGTGTCGTGCCGCAGCGAGAAGATCGCTCGCGTAGGGGTAAAGTGTATATGGCAATAAGCCCGGTTTAATCAACATTACACGTAGCCTAATCAAATATGACCCCCTCGTCATATTGCGTAATTGAAGGCTTAATCACGGGAGACGTTTTGCGCGACGAATATATGCGGGCATCGACTGTTTGATCAGCTCTCAAAGCACGACACTCACGAATTCTAGACAGCGGTAATAAGCCAACGATATATGCCGTTGTAACTAGTATAATTAAATCTATAAGTTTCTTAAACCACAAAGAGAGTAATGCGGATATAGAACGGCGTCTGAAAAGGAAGATAAGGCTATGGTGGCATCGGCTTCCTCATTGTACGGGACGTGTGATACCACGATGCACAAAGCTAGCACAATGCGAGTCCATTCTCCCATTGTTTAACGTCTCGGGCTAAACACGTCTCTGCTCTAAGCGAATTACGGCGCTCAACTTCAAACGTATCAGAGAGATTCTATCAGTTTTGAAACTAAATTTTAAGTGAAGTTCTCTAGAAATATTTTATTGAAACGTATCTCGGATGCGGGGATAACAGGAATTTGCTTTCGTGTATGAAAAAGGATTACAGTAAAAGTTAAGAACTTTAAGATTTCCAACGCGTTGGGTTCAATTGTAAAGGTTAAGGTGACAATTTTCATTGCTGACTACGGATAATGTCAGTTGCCCACGCGTCATACAAATGTGTCGGCAAAAGGTGATTTTTAAAGGCTTGCGTATGTATGTATTGAAGGAGCGATCGAGCGCATGAGAGGGAGCGATTGTGCGGGGCGGCAGTCCCACGGCGACTTTATCTCTTGATCGCGTTATTCACCCGAGCATCAAAGGAAAATGCGAAGGGAAATATTAAGAGACGAGACTGCCTTTTTATTACATGATTCTTTAATTTTAAAAACATTTACTTTATGGATATACCCTGAACGCTTTGTTTATTCCCGTATTCGTGAACCCAGTGTTTTATGATATGGTAAACGAATGAATAAAAACTTTAATAAATAAGGCCTTGCATTAGCGGAGGTGAGTGTTTACCAGCTCTAATTTTTATCGCTCCGTTCATTCCCCGAAATACCTGTGTTATCGCGTCATTCACTAGAGATAACGCTATTAGCTTTAAGTCCGAGTCCGTTTCGCCTGACTGTATTCGCGTGAAATCATGTCTTTGAACGCCAATACCGTAAGGGTTTCATTTCAGCGCAACACATGTGGTGTATGTATGTTTGTAGTGTGTTAAGACAAGTATAACAAGTCAAGGCGCCGCCGAGTCATTGTCCCGTTCATTACATTAGTCCGATGCCAATTCCCATACAATGGTGGCGGCCACATTGGGACGCTGACGTCACTTCAGACTAGCCTTGGAATTGAGGTCGCTAACGAAATGGCGGCAGAATAAATATTGCCATAATCGGCAAAATGTGGCCATAAATAAAGAATGAATTAGTACTTTTAGTGATTGTTATACACGCGTATAGTATTCATTATAGGAAGCGTTTAAAACCGAAATTGCTTTTAAGAGTAACGCAAGAATCAGTGTTACAAAGTTGCAAGTTCCTGGAAATGAGAATTTTCCAACTAGGCTTAATCTCTTTTTATGTATGTACATTTGAATTTACTTTAGGTTACCCTTACTTTAATAACTAACAATCTGATGTTATGATAACGTATGGGGGAACTATGTAATATTATTGAATAAAATCAGATCGGCCGTTAGTGGAGTTCAATAATTTTCTATAGTTAAATAATAAAAACTTACCTTAATGCTGTCGTAGCAGGCGGTGACTCTTCCGTTCTGGACCTCCACAGTAGTCGGGGGATGCGCAAACTTGCACTCGTTATCGGGCCGAGAACATTTATTTCTTTGGAACTCGCGGCACACTTCGAGCTGAAGCCAACGAGAGTCTTTTCCGTTCAGGAGGCTGTTCATGTTCACCATGGTGGCCATCGTTGCCGGTTGCCTCAGGGGATAATACACGTTACGCTGTTCGGCTGCGGCGCATAGGCGGCAGACAGCGAGCGCGCCCGCGCGCTCCAGATACACTTTTCCGCGGCAGAGATCACAGGTGACACTTACGACGATATACACCGTCGATATTTACAATTATTAATTACAATTACGTTAGAAAGACACCGAAGTTGCAAGCTTAATTAGGCGAGTATTAAATTATCACACGCGTTCGTATCGATGTTAACGATTGTTTAGTTGAGGGCGAGCGGTGCGCGGTGCGCTAGCATGGCAGCGGCCGGTGAGGGTATGTCTGGCAGCGGGGCGCGGGGCGCGGGGCAAGCGGAAGGCGGTGCGGTGCGGACTCAACTCTGCGAAAAACAAACACACTGTTATTCACCGGACAAATGCCCCGGAGCCAAGCATAAGCGGCTACCGGGTTAAACGGTATGACTTATCACTTACCTAGTGGCTTGACCACTAAGTAAATCAAAAATGCATATTAGTATCTTATATTAAAATTAACCTAACTTTTTACAATAGCTCTCAGGAACTAATTTAATGTGTTTGCTATAACTATAATAGTCCAACAGTAAAGCGGTTCTATTAAGACAACTTTGAAGTGTATAGAAAATTTTATCTCCGAGTCAAATAGTCTTTGTCTGAATTATAAGTCCAGTAGTAATTAATTACTGCTTTCTGAAACAGGGGCATACAAATATGATTTGTGTTGGTTATACGTTTAGGACACAGCTGACGACAGGTGAGTGGTGCGCACGTTGCAGACAGGTGTCGCACCAATAATAACATCCGCTAGACGAATATAAATACAAATTCTACTCGAAACTAAAGTAAATAACTGCCACATAAAACATACAAATCCGCCAAACTGTGTCACTAAAATGAATAGCATAAACACGTTGCTCAATAAAAATGAGTGTTAGGTGTTAAGCCGTGGAAAAATTCTTTGTGTGGGCGCTGCCAGCCGAAACGCCCTGAGGCCGAGAACAGGGAAAAACTTGTGAAACCAAATCCTATCGTAATGTGCTATTTAAAGCATAACCCAGTTGAAAATAGCACCGGTGTGCGTCCACGCAGCCACCGCCGTGCATAATCTACAAATTTTATTTTTGATGTAAATGCAACGGTAACACGTCAACTGACGGCGTGTTTCCACTTGAAAATCAACTAAAAATATTCTTTTAAAATACATTTAAAAGTGTTTTTGTGGCTGTCGGGCGTTATGAGAACGTTATTTATGCTCATGCCTGTTTCGTTTGTGAATCACCCTCAACACATTCACTTACTCATGTCATATTATGCCAGACATTCATTTTGTGCACTCATAGATTAGCCCACACATAGACAACGTCAGTTTCTAGTAACTCTAACGATTCTAACGTAATCCAACGCATCCTGCCATAGGTTTACATTCAAAAGATGCATGAAAATAGTGAGACAATAACGGGAAATGCTGAAATTTATTTTGGTAAATAAACAAAACTAAATAAGTGTTAAAGGATCATCTGGCGCCGGCCGGTGCTGGAGTAGTTTCTTCAGTGCGACACGCACGGAAAGACATTCAATAATGTTGTGAAAAGATTACGAAGAGCAATCAGACGGAAGCGAATCTAAATAAGAATCTCGTGAGAGCGGTCGGGCGTTAGGGTGGGAAGGGGGAGAAAAAACAGTCGAACCCGATTCCTTTGTGCATGAAAATTCGATCTAGTCCCTATCGTGGCATTTATCATGAATTCTTAATAGAAAAGATGCGGAAGAGTGCAAAATAGAAGTTAAACCGATATCTTCCAGTCGCATTCCTGGTCTTGACCGGAATTTGAACCTGGGTCTACCACGTGTGCGCTTTTACCTCTATCAAGACAGATAAGAACGCGACAAACTGTTATAATTTAAAACAAGATTTGACAACGAATAATTTGAAATAAATTTTTGTTTAAGTTTGAACAAGTAGATTTAGGACAGTTGCGCTGACTTGAGGTTGACACATCTTAGTCAAATGAATGCATACTCTACCACACCTTTCACTATTACCTTGTAATTGAAGTTAACGCGACATTTTGCAACATGATCGGTGACGTGATTGTTTCCAGTGCATTTATTTTTTTGACTAAAATACTTTTGTGTTTATGAATTAAAACAGGATTCTAGAAGCAATGAGCTTATAAATATTTTAAAAAGCACGTTGTGAGTTTATCCGATACCTAGATGTGATTTTTCACGCGAGCTTTCTGCTTCAAATATATGCGGAAACAATCCCAAGCATATAATGACATAATTGGATTTTTTATTTAACATTTAAAGAGTAACGAACAATAGCATTTAGTTAAGGTCGCTATGTTAATAGGTATTTTACGAGAATGTTTCGTACAATAATAAACTGAAATCAATACAAAAAAGAGAATGTATCTAATATGAAGGTCTTTTAATATTGAAATCGAAAGAATTAGTGCAACAATAATTTAGGTTAAGGTTAAGTAAAATGAGTTCTTTAAGACAATGATTCATTCGATGCAGTTTTGTTAGCCTAATAATTATATTAATGTATTGCATCATCACATGTGCGCGCTCATTTGTTTTAATTAATGTTATTCGAAATTTGAAAAGTTGTAATGTAAATTATGGCAAGTGTTTGGGTTTATTTATTAAAGTTTACCACATCATATTGAATGCTATATCTATATAGTATATGTTACAAGCGATCTATTCTAAAAAGCAAGAAAATTATGGTAACATCAATGTTACAAAAAAAATCCAATTTTAGATTTTACTAGTAAATTTTGCTTAACAATGCTGATGAGGTGTTAGGCCCTAAACAATGCGTTTTGATAAATAAATTAATCAGCCCACTATCGAATATAATACGCTCTGGATAAGTAGTGTTTATTCTGTTATTTTCGCGAAGAATTCGAATAAGAGATTCCTGAACTTTGGGTTGGTTTTTGCAGACGTAATCTTAAAAATTCTGCTGATTTTGAACCTTGGGCTTTTGTCAGTCTAATACAGTCATATGATAAACTAAATTCTTATTTTACTATCTACGAATTATTATTACATTATAATGCATGTAGTTAAAGATAATCTAAAACTATATGGCACTCTTTAAAAGCAAGGAATATGTGATTTTATTAGTTTAAAAATCATGTGACGTATTCTGAGGTCTACACTAAAGTCGAATCTATTTAAGTTTCAAATCTAAAAAATAGTTAACCGATTTCGTGCCAGAAGTAATTATAATCTTAATTTAAAAAAAATGTTCAGTCCCTTTGTTATCTCGAACTCTTATCAGACTGGAAATGGCTATTGTCAAATGGAGCATTGCGTAGTCCAAAAGATAAAAACTTCGGTTGCAAGGCCAGCCAGTAAATAAAGCGGAAAATGGGTTGACAGCCAGAAGGTGACCTTGGGTTTTACGCTCCGACTCAGTAAACTCGACGAATAAATATCAAAAATAAAGAAAACGAACCTAAATGCAGTTTTAAAATTGTCTAATAACTTCTTGCATTAGCAAGATTACGCTTTCACAATCAATCAAAAATAATTGTTAATGAATAAATTATCAAAACATGTATCCTGATGAAGTGAAAAACTGTATTTCAGGAGCCTGTGACTTCACAAATTGCGGGTTCAAAAAACTTTATTTGTAAAATTTATTATTCAGAATATACTCAAATGTGCATAACTCTTCTAAGATTCTAAGTTAAAACGTAAAAACTCAATAACTTCATGCAACGCTGATCAGCTGATATACATCGGTTTGAAATTGATCATTGTCTGGTAGATGATATTATTATAACTTATACTGTTAATCATTCCGTAGAACTTCTATTGCATTGCGTAACTAACGATAATGGAATAAACCTACTGTTATGAGTATAATATAAGTATCTAAAAAGTTTGTATGAACACATGACAACGCTTTTGTTGTCACTATTAATGATTTTTTTTGTCTTTTCTTATCAAACGCAGTACGAAACATAGTCCCACTACAGAATTGGGAAAAGGTTAAATATGATTTCATAAGCGTTTGGCTATAAGTGCGTAGTTAGCGGAAAAGGTATTATATTATGCTTGATCGTAAAAACTACGACTTTATATGGTATGCCTATGGGAATGCCAATTTATAAATAAATGTAGAATTTTATTATTAGAAATTAAAATTTCAAGGATAATTCACATCCGTCTCATTGTTGAAGTAACTTTGAAGATTTACAATGTAGCTGTTTATTCGCCAACAAAGTGCCTCCTAAATTCTAATAGCTGTAATTAATTATTAGATTAAATCAATGTTTCTGTACAAAAGTTGTTCGTTTTAGGTTATTAAAGTCGTTTTCTTGAGTTGATTAATGTTCTTATCAGACAGTTTGGTGTCTCTACATTTTTTCATGTAATGATTTACACACTTCTTAGTAACTTTAGTAAATATTGGTCATAAATATACGCTTTTATTTAGACGAAACTATATGACTGAATTGTAAGGAAAGGTAATTATAAGAAACTGTTTCATTTTAATAGAGCGCAATAATCTTGTAAACCAAATCATTAAATAAGAAGGTACCTAGATTATTTCTTTAGCTTCTAGATAAAAGCCGGTTTTCAATATTATTTCCCTATTTCAAAAAGTACAAATTGTATACGAATATGAAAACATATTTTACGTTTTAAATTATTTTTAGAATATTTTTTGGGTCTTATTTAGGTACTAACAAAAAGTATATATAATAGTATAATATGAAGTGTTTCAGCCCGCCTTGTTTTAAATAAATTTTATTTTGAAATGTGTCCAAGTTCTTGGCCGTTTTTTTGTCTGAAATAATATATTTTTCAATTATTTGAATTAAATTGATACAGTATTTTCAGGATAACTTAATGGTGTCGTTGGAAACACGATATAATGTAAATAATTACCACTATTACGAATAATGTAGTGTAACGCAGTCAACGAGGTAAATTCAATATTTAAATGTGATATTTCTGTCGAATTCAGTCATGTTTATAATAACGTTGCTGGATTTGTTTTGATAGCGGAAAATAGCTTTTATTTTGGATACAGCAAGGTTGAAATTTGAGATGAGAGGTTTCGATTCGATGTGATGTGACTCGCAAGTGATGTCACCGATTTAACATTTGTTATTCTCTGCAGTACTACCTCGCCTAGTGGAGCGTGCTACTAGCCACTAGTTCCATAAACGATCTATTCGGAAACCGAAATAAACGTGGAGACTTTTTGTATGATTAAAAGAGCACAAATAAAGCGCAAAAACTTCGTGTTCATTATAGTCTTACATATAGCAATTTCGGAACAATCTGGGCAAACACAGCGAAACGAAATGATTAGCTGAGCACGTAGGTCAGTTCCGGCAGTCAAAACAAAGGCCATTGTTAACGTGTGCAGAGAAGTCCTACTCTGGCATTCGGGACATGTACTAGGTGCATTAAGCCTTCGGGGACGCCTGCAGACTCGTAATTAGCGGGAGAAGCGAAAAATTTGCGACGGCTTAAATTTACGAGGTGCAAATTACAACTCGCGCTATCGCTGCTGCGTTAATGTGCAGGTCTTATCGGGCCCCGGCCCGCTGGCGAGGACATTAAACTGATCGCATCGACAAAACGTAAAAATAAACACTACATGGGACTGCACAAGATAAAAACGCTATAAGGAAAACTGGAATTTATTGGCTGCGGTTTGGAGTTGTTTTCCACGAAGGCCCAAGCTTCGAGCATAGCCTATTTGAGTATTTATTAGGAAAACCGAGTTACATTCTTGGAGAAATCGTAAAATATTCCGCTGTTACAGATATTAACTTTTTTATCTATGATTAATATCGTTTTAATCTGCAAATTGGACAGGTTTGGTTGGTTTGTTTTTTAAGATAAGATAATATTTATGTTAGCTCTACATTTTGCGGCAATGCAATTTACAATCACTATATCGAATTTTAAAAATGTATAAATGTTATAGAAATACATTTTATTAATATCAAATGAATATATAAACAGAATTTAACACTTTATGTATCATGAATTAAAATTATGTCTCACAAATAGAATTTCTAACACTTAGTGAGGATTAATAAATAAGAATATAATTATAAAACTATGAAAGGGTTAATGACTCTGAGACTAAAAATTCTAGTCACTTATAGGGGTTTCAGAGTCAAACAAAAAATATTACTTATCGCTTCCACCCACTCACGCTCTCATTCAACTGTGTAATTCGTTTCCGATATTCCAATGTTTCATTTTCTTTTATGAATTTAATTCTTAATTTACTGATCACAAATTCTGCTCATTTCGTAGAAAAATTATTCATTCTTGGAAAATAAAAATACTTTTACCGACTTAAAATTTACAGTAGACGACACAAATATTTCGCAATACCGTTTTGAATACGTAATCGAATCTGCTAGCTAGAGATTAATTGTTAAATGTAGGTACCTTTTTCCAAAAAGTAAAAATTTACAACTTCTTTTGTTTCTGATTAATATTTAGTTTAATAATCCCAGGCCCTTCAATGACGTATTGTTAAGCAGGTAGCCAGTTTCAAAGGCAGCTGTTACCTTATGAACGAACCATTGTGGACTTTCGAGCAAAGAGATTTTAAAAATTAACACATGCATGTTTTATTCGATTTTAAATCGTGAGTAGTGAACTGAAATCGTTGTGGAAATATAAAACAGAAAATACACGGCGTTAGGCATAAGTTACGAGTTATTTGCAATGCCGTTTTTCTGAAGAATTGCAAAAGCAGAGTATTTTTAAATCTGGAAATTTATCTAGATTAGACGTTAGACTAAGTTATCTTGCGATAAGCGCCAGGTAGTATAGCAGTACTCAAGATTTGCGGCAATTGGATTATGTAAAGGATTGCATGACAAATATATATTATAGCTGATATATTCAAAGAATGAAATAGTTATATAGGTACGAAGTCAAAAGTTAGATGAAAACTATGTCTATGAAATTCGAAGCATTATGAGATTAGCCCGATTAGGAAACGTATTTCTACTTAGCGAACTTTTACGATATTGGCAATATCGATGAAAGCTTTTAACTTTGTGCCCTCGGCCTCCTGCAAGCGCGAGCGTCGCTCGTGGACTTGCACGGAACAACTCTAAATTGCAAAAGCTCTCATGCGAGACATTATTAAGTCCTTACCGGAACCGTTCAAGGCTATTTAATTTTATCGAATTTCGAAATCGTCCAATATATATTTTCCTAAATCACACTGAACGTTGACACGAATAATAAAAATCACGATAAACCTCACTATATTCACAAACTTTCACGAACACTTCGCGAATTCCGAATTCGATCTATTATCTGATAAAAATGATTCACTTACATGATGGGGATAAACAAGCCGGGTAAGGGAGCTTTCTTAACGTCCGAGAGTCAAATCATAGCAAGTCACACAAAGTTAAGACAAACGATTCGCCGGTAGCTTAGAAGTCGCGTTCGCCACGGCGGGGTGGCGCGCGTCGTAATCGGGGCACGAGTGCAGTGCACGGAGCGGCGCGAGTCACACAAGCTAAAGCAGAGTCGGCGGGCGACTGACGGCCGAGTAACGCGGTGCGGGGCGCCCTGCGCGCGCACCCCGCACCCCGCGACCCGAACCGCCCTGCCACCCGCACCCCTGCCGCCTGCCGCACCCCCCTAAAGTGACCGATTTCATAAAACTGATTATTTATATCAGTTTGCAATCATTTATACAATACCTACACGATGCAATTCGCTAACTTATGATATTATTTTTTCAAAACATAATTAACATTAAATTTTTCATCATAATTAATAAAATATAATAAAGGGTTAATACGTTTTGGCTTGACACGAAACAAGAGGCCCTTATCAAGGCGCGCGGTGGCCGCTTCCTTTCTCCTCATGCAGTCGCGAGCTTTTCGCCACTGCCACACTTCCGCCCCGCGATTGTGTCGACTTTAGACGGCCAATGTACTTTTATTGCAAACCATATTATTGGATAAAGTTAAAAATGTTAACCTACACAATATTTACAGTGTACGTTAACCAAATTATTATTTCTTATTACAATGATATCGATGTAGATTTACATAAACTCATTTCAAATTTATGCGAATTATAATAGGGTAAGTTATCGATCGCTTCGATACTTTGCGACTTGTTTAGGGTGTGCAATCGGCAATGTGAAGGGCGCAGCCGATGTGTGCGAGTGAGACAAATATAGGCACCGGCGCCGGCGCGGGAGCGAGAGACCGGTGAAAGTGCGCTAAGGAACGGGTTTGCGGCCTGCGCGTGACCTGTCCCGCACGACCACTCTGCAATATGCACTACATTGGAAACAGGAACAGAATTTTGATTCACCACTTCGCGGATTATCTTTATAACAAGAAAGTAGACTACTATGACTATGATTCGAAAATTAAGACAATTTTAGCTTAAGATCATAATCTAAGAAAATGTCACCGATTTAAGTATTAAACTGAGTTACAATTATGCGCCTAATATCGAAGTGCGTTTTATTTGCTACACAGCCCATAGTCTCACAGCTCGAACTTATATCAAGTTCTAAACAGAAATTCTAGCGGCACCTTTATAGGCAAAACGTATTTTATTCGACACATACATTTATAGAAGGGAAAATGCAAACAATTTTCTTCGCGACATTTCTCCGAAACAATCTATGATAGCAGGTCTGCACAAACAGAATAACAAACGAGGACTTTATTAGACCTGGCAAGACACGAGTTCATTACAAGAGAAATATTGTCCCCGATCTAAAAAACAAATCCAAGTTATAGAATTCTTATCGAAATAAGTTCCTTAAGTAGAAAGATTTTGCTAATATTACGTAAATGTAAATGATTGGCCATTTTACTCATTATCTAAAGATAAAAGGGATAAACAATAAAACCTTCAATCTTGCCAGCAACTAAAAAGATTCTTGACAAGACAGCGAATTTTCGTGGAAAAAATTAGTTTAAATAATTTGTATTGAGTTCCATTCGATTAAAATACTTTCATAGTTTTTAATAAAATAACATAAATGTCCATTTCTTCTTTATGTGTATTAGTTGTATGTTTAAAACTGTTTTCTAGTTAATAAATCGTTTAAATAAAATGCACCAAAGCGGATGCAGGCTCCAATCACGATATTGTTAAGTTTTTGTGAAATGTGCTTTGTAGCGTAACATAAATAATTTAGACACATTTTTATATTTTTATTGTGTGAGTTCAACCACACAGTTCTAAATAGACACCTATTAAAACGTTTATTTTTTTTCTCTACGTGACTAAGCTAACGAAAATAGTTTTTCGGCGGCAAATTGTACTAAAGATAGTTTAAACTTAGAATTAATATACGAAAATGTTAGTTTCTAGCAACTAATAATAACTTTTCGTTCATAGCTCAAAACTAATCTGTTTTTATATTTATATGGGTATACAAGCTTTAATAACGATAACATGTTTATGTAATTTGTCTGAATTTTTATTTAAGTTATTAAACAATAAATACTGATCGAGATTAAAACCTCCTTCGAATGTTTGAAGAAGTTATTAAAACTTAAAACTTTTTGCTAGAAATGCTAATCTGTACACATTTCAAATATAGAACCTATTAAACAATTAAATTTCAACGAGTAAGCAGTCTTTATTAAGAAATTAGCATAAGGATTATCAAGATTAAAAAGGAGACGATGACATAATTATTTTATCAGACTTTTAATACCTAGTGAACATAGTTCAAAGCTCGCTTTTGTACAGCCTTTTTAAAAAAAGTTTTCTTAAGCCACTCCAGCTTTCCTCCCTTAAAGCAAGTAGCTCTTAACTCTTTATGGACATTAATGTTCACTAGTCAACGTTATTAAGTCGCTATTCGTTAAGCTTCCCGCAAACAGGCTCTCTTGTCTATTATATACACAAATGCATAATATGACACGAAGAAAAAGATTATATGAAATATCTGGAAGAGCATAATGCTTTTATATTCACACGCTGGTAAATAAGAAGTCATATTTCTAGTGACTTTAATACAGAAATTCCTCTTTAACGTACTCTTTTTCTGATCTATTATATTTTTTGACATTTACAATTCTCTATGAAATAATTTATAATGAGATATTTTAATTATAAATCTACAGAACAGTGCATTAGCTAAGAAAAGGAATTAAGCCTGATTAGGTTAACGAAAATCAGGTTGTAATAGTAATTTTAAAGTAAATATTTTCTCCATTATTTATAATACTAAATGCTATTGGTATCATAAGCGCTATCGACTTGTCATACGTACTACGTAGAGTTTGATGCTAAGTTCTATAGTTTGTTGAACTTTTAGAATGATTAATTTTCAGTAGTTATTTTAGTTTACTGAGAAATTATGAAACTTATTCTGGAGTATCTAAAAATAAAGCTGTTTTGCGTATACAGGTGCTGTAGCCGGCACTCGATGCCTAACTGCCGACAGATGTGCTGGCTCGTCAATATTGGCGGCATGCTCGCATTGCGTGCCAACAAACACGCGGCTCACTCCACATTCTAATACCATACCGAAAGATTTAATACACATCCTTTTATTAATTATGAAATCTATAATCTCTTGTGTGACAACACGTAAGAGGCATGGAATGAGGCCTAGAACGAGAAAGGAAATCGGTCGTAGAATCATTAAAAAAATGTGTGGCTTGAACAAATTCTTGGCTCTGTGGCCCTTTTCTATGGCTCTTTTCTATTTAAGGAGTAACAAGCCCTCTAAACCATATTGAGTGCGTGGGTAGCACCGCGTTAAGATGTCCATGGGATCAGTAGATCATTCTAAGTGTTACTCTCTCGTCAAAATTGTTAAAGTTGCCCAAACGTCAAATAGCAATCGTGACTGTATGTAGGAGCAAAAAATGCAATTAACTGTACTGACTCGGATCGTTTGCGAATTTGGCGGCCTCGAGACGACGAGTTCAATGACCGTTGTCTTAAGACAAAAAATGCATCGCTTCTTCCCACATGAAATCCACACATAGACAGTATTCACACATTAAAAAATATTAACCAATCACGTTGAGTTCGCGCACACCCATAGTGGTGAACATTACATTCTTCACTATCAACTATGTCGGTCTCGGCATTAGCTAAATCTCATGTGTTTTTGATCGTTATGTTAAACTATTTCTCTACCAAATGACTATTTAAGTGACATTTAGAAGAGAGACAGTGGAATTCAAAATATTACTAAAGTATTTGTCGTCTTTTTATTTTGTTCTTTTGTTGTATAAACATCAAGGCGTGGCATCCGAATTGACATTTACATAAATCAGTGTAAGCTTCTTCTAAAACCTACATAAGTTTTAATATATCGAAATTCTGTATTATAAATTCTTACTACGCAATTCGTAGGTGGTTATATATTGAGCTTTGTTTCATTGACAAATCGGCATCTTACTCTTGTTTAAATAGACGATTGTCGAATAAACACGGGTAGGGATCGCCCACGCAACTCATCTTCGCTACACTTCATTGCGCACGCGCCGAGCTTCCTGTATCATTCATTACTGTTGAAGTTTTAACAAATGAATTCCTATTCTTAATGCCCTCAATTTTCTTTAGTCGGATATAATTATGAAACATCAGATAACCGTCTTAAGTATTAATGTTAATGGGAGTTTTATTATTTTAGAACAATGCTTTTGTTGCCTTTTATATAAAGATTAGACTGATACAAGATTACAGAACTAACGTTTACCTCTTAAAGCTGCAGCAAATTTTCGTATTTTCTTTATATAATACAGTTTGAGATTGATTCTTAATTAAAGAAATTAAAGAATATTTAAACAATAAATTTGTGCTATTGGTAAGAACGTAAATTATATGAAGGCTATAAGAGTAATAACTATACATTGTTAAAATAAGAAATGCTACTTATTAGGTTGGCAACTAAATCTCGTTTATGAATTTATACGGCAATTAAGCTGAAATTAAATATACGAAGAATTTAGAAACTGCTTTGCTTCCTTGAAGCGCATCGCAGTAATTGGCTTACACAAGCTGAGAGCACGAAGGCACCGCTTGTGATTTATTTATTGCATTTTCTTTTAGTATACTTAACCTGATAGTTACACTTCGATAAGAATAAGATTTTTATTCCTTGGACTTTTGACTTTTAGATTTCGCTTTTCATGTCTAGAATTCTGTGTACAGCTAAGCTTTTACAAAGTATTTAGTAAAAATCTAAAACAGATGATACACCTACCGATTTATTTGAAATATAAATTATAAATAAAAGCGCCCCATGTCCGAGGACTATCTCAAAGTAATTTTCAAATGTAGATAGCAATATTGCATATATAACCTTACTCACAACACGTCAAACATTGTTTACGCTATGCAAATGTAGATAATTGTTAAGAACAATCAATAGGACTACATCCCGCGTGCACAGTGAGTGAGCTCCGGTTATTGTAGCGTTTAATTAAAAGCGGTGAAGCGAAGTCGCGCACTCCTGAGGTAGAGCGGTGGAACACTCGCGTTTGATGACTCAACATAAACGGTAATTAACCCGCTTCATCTGACTCGCTCTTAAATCGCAATCACAAGAGCTTTCCAAAAGGCTTTTCGTTATCTTTCTAGGAATTACATTGGGAAGTGATTAAGCAAGACACGGAAGAATGAACTTTAAGTTCTAGGACGGTTTTGGAAGACGATCCGATAAGTCATATTTTTATATGTGTCTGTTTACTTTAATTACAGTATTAAAGATATGGCGCTAGTTTGTCTGACCTATCAATAAATTGTCCACCTTTATGTCGATACTTCAACTCAGAGTCATCTATTAAATTATCTCTAATAGTCGATGAATATTATATCTAAAGAACGATACAAGTCAGTTACAATATTTAATACTCAATTAGTTAACGACTGATTTAAAGAAGCATATATTAGTTTCCGATTCCAATTGTGAACTAATGTAAGTCTTTATATTGGCTTAAGTTTCCGTTAACTTTTAATGAACTGTTTTAATAACGATTAGTAGAGAATATCTGTCAAGATACAACGCTAAGTATAAGTGGAAGTTACAACAACTGCAATAAAGACGAAAGGAATTTTTCTGATTGCACACAATGTAAAAAAAAATTAAATACCTGCGGTAAAGGTATGTTTGAATCGTCATTTAATGCAAATAAGCTCTTAAAATTAAGAGAAGTCGTGATGTTGAACATCTGTACACCGAAAATGGACATCCCGAATTTAACAATGGCAATGATTCATGAGCAGAAAATACTTTTTATATGAACTTTGGATGAACTTTGGACGATGTTTTGAATAATCTTCTAAGCACTTAGTTTAGCGTTCACAACAGCGAGTCCCACATCACCCTTCCCCACCAGGTCAACCATGCCGCGGGAGGGTATGCGTAACGCATTTCCCCACGAAAAAAAAAAAAACAAAAAAAAAAGGCGTGCGTCTCTCAACTACAAGGCGGTTGCCAAAACATCCCGTCAATGCTACTCCATACAACGAGAAGAATCGATAAATTCTTAAATGTCTAACATTATTTAATAGATCTTAATCTCTTTATCTACGGAAATAGAACTTTGCAATGCTCGAAATTACAACATTACCGTAAGTAATTGTTATTATCCAAGTAATAAGAAACGCAGTGAGCGGTGTCGAGAACTGTGTGCTAACTGCTAAGTGGTTTTTAAGGCCGCTTACCTCATCTTTAGGCTCAGCCATAACTACATGAATAACATACAAATTATAGCCATTTACACATTGAAAAAAAATATCTTATTGTCGAACGCGCGGGGAGATTTGTGTGCCTTAAAGGCTGTAAAGTGAGCGAAGTTTTAATACTATATAAATATATTTCAATGCTAGTGTTAAAAATGAAATAAATTTTACTAACAATTATAAGAAACGTCGATAAGAATTGGTAAGCCTTTCCTATCTGTTTTATATATTCCACGTGTTGAAGTACTACGGCTATTAGTTCAGCTTATTTGAGCCACCATTATTTATAATTAAATTAAAAATTCAAGTTTTGTATCGGCTACGCTTATTAAAAATTGTTAACTGTTATACTTATCCCATGCGCACTTAAACCTTCTATAAAATAATACTTGTTAGTTACATTTATTGCGGCGTTATAAAACACTTCCGTTTAAATACAACAATAAAGGAATATGATACAATGGGCGTTAGATAAAAAATACTGAGTCATAACAATGTTATCACCATTCACAATAGGTAGACGTACATTTTCTTATTAAATGCAAATCATCACACTTCTTTTATTCGAATAAAATTATTATTTCAAGTATATGGCTTCGTATTAAAAAATTTACTGTGATAACTGCTACTTAATGATAAAAAAATAATCAAAATTAATTGCGAGTATCAGTTTTAATAATTAGTCTAACTCTCCAACAAAATCGTTATATTTCAACTTACATCAAAACGCAATGAATTGTACAACCTTATTCAGGAATCGCACTGTCTATTGGTGCAATCTGTTCAGTAGAGTTCGAGTTTATCGCGTTCACATAGACATGACGCGGCAATGTTGAGTTCGTTTTTGAATATGTAAGAATTAGTACAAGTACATAAAGACTGAAGAGGTGATCTTAAATTATCTTGATAAACCGAGTGATGTTAGGTTAGAACACAGTTTATTATTCACTTTGAGGTTAACGTTTTGTTGTGGAAATTGTGGAATAATGCCACAACTCAACTTGAATCAATAAAGCTAAAGTACTAAGAACCGTTTATTATTTTTAAATTCAACATATAAAATTACTAAAGGTATATGTTTAAACTGTGAGTTTAACCTGATTGAAGGATTTGTGTTGTTCTTTTAATTTTGTTTGAAACATTGGAACAGTTCTAGCCAAAAGCAAACGGTTTTTGTTCCCTTTAGTAACGCTCTGATATAAGTATTGGTTTATATCAGAAAGTTTTTTGTTATTTCTGCGGTCTTTTGTGAGATGCACGAGCATCGGAGCCGATGACAATAGAATCGATTTACTCGATAGTGTGTTGAACTCTTCGTCACTCAACATTTCAGTTTTGCCTTTAACGTTCATACAACAAAAATCAAGCCAATTACTAGTCTAGTTTGTACGAATAGTTAATCCAAGCTTAAACGAATAAATAATTTAATCTTCACAAACGGATTAGTGTTGGCTGTTCACGTTTTGTTTTAATGATAAAATCAGGTAATTGTGTTTTTGGTCCTTCGGAACGAACTATCCGGCCAGACGATCTATTGCTTAGAAACGAAACAAGTTGCTTGGAAGCGTAAAAATAATGATCTTGGTATGCGAAAACTTAGGAAAATTAAATCTTGATAGATATTTAGTTGATGTAGATGGTATTCTAGCTAGCATGAGACGTGTACGATGCGGTTCGACTCAGTTACCGCAGCTCGTAAATAAGGGCGTCTCATTGCGGGGCATTATTAATGAATGTACTGCACCCCGCCCCTCACCCGCCTCAAAACTAAATAACAGGTGCGTGTAACCCCGTTCGCAGAGTCTATTTTCGATGTCTTACTGCGAGTTTCTTCCTAACATATGCTATATATTGGAGATTTGTTTGGGCGTCATATGTTCGACATAGTCTAAAGCGACTTTGTAGAGTTTCATTAGCCGTCTGGGAGCATTTACTGTATCATGTTGCTAAAATTGCGCGAGTAATTTGCACCGATTGATATCGTTTCGCCACGAGTGAGAAGGAACCTTGAACGTTCGTTTCGCCTTAAATATCTTGGCAGATATAAAGAAACGAACTGGTGTTTTTAACTTTTTACAGCCAACTTTAATCTTATTTTTTTTGTAAAATAGGTTTTTGCAACGATACGATTAAGTATAATTTTTTAATGTTCTTATTAAACTACGCAATACATTAGCAAGTAGTGTTGCTAATGAAATCCAGCCTTAAATTTTTAATTACTGCGGTCAGCTTATGCTAACCCTACAGTAGATGCGATGAAAAGCAAAAAATGAATGGTCATAGACATAAATTGTTACGGCTATGCAAGTTGCGTTCTATTATGTCATCCTCACAGCTTTTCATATCAAGAGCAGGTTGAGTGCACAAAGATGGCGCCTGCAGTACATTAATGCGCTGAATGACGTAATGGTAACAATGTACCGAACTCAAGAGATTATTAATTAACTTTGTTAAGTATTTTCCTTTGCAATATTTCCGAATCATAAGACAATTGAGGTCGTATATGACTAGCTAATGAACCAGAACGCCTGATTCATAGTGACGTAATCAGAGGAAGTGTCTACTTTGGCCCACGCTTCTTTATAAGGATGACCAAGTTGATTTAATATTTTAAAGATCATATAAGGTGAACATAAAGTTAGGCAATCGGAGGTTGCTTCATTGAAGGTTTAAAATAGCATCAATCATTGATAATTGTCATAATAGAATCATTCAAAAGAATGATTAAATCATCCAATTCTGTTACCAAGATCATTAGTCGTATATTATTA